TTTTTTTCCGTTTTTTTTTTTTCCATCACAGGCAATTTATTTTGTTCTATTCATTCACAGTTAATACAGAAAATACTTTTGAACATTTTATTTTTTCTTTTTTTTTTTTTTAATGTGTGGGTGTTTTGCCTACATATATGTATATGTACCACGTGCATTCTTGGTGCCCGAGGAAGCTAGAAAAGGATATCAGATCCCTTAAAGTGGAGTTACAGACAACTGTAAGTTGCCATATGGATGGTGGGAATTGAACCTGGGTCCTCTGGAAAAGTAGTTAGTACTCTTAATCACTTAATCTTCAGCTTCTATTCTATTACTTTTAAATCTAGCTTTGGGCAAGTTCTCAGAACAGTGGCAAAAGACAGCCATATTATTTGCCAAAATATCACCAGAATACCCTCTAGTCCAGTTGCTAATATTGTTTCCCTCTGAAACTTTTTGAGCTGGGCCACCACAGACAGCATTGCTTCTGACATTACTGTCTTTCAGGCTTCTACTATAATGATAGCCCTTTAAGCTCTACTTATAGCTTTTACATACTTTTTGAGTTCAAAATTCCCAAATCTTCCACATTCTTCCCCATACCAACAGGTCAGGTTATTCATAGCAACATCCTTCTGTCTAGTACCAACTTCTCTATTAGTCTTTTCTGTTGCTGTGAAAAAGTGCTATGACTAAAGCAATATATAGAAAGGACTTTATTTGGGCTTATGGTTCCAGAGGGATTAGAGTCCAGAATGGTGGCAGGAGCAGGAAGCCGAAAGTTTACATCTTGAACTGCAAGTATGAAGTAGAGAGCATGAATTGGAAGTGAGACTGGTAAACACTCAAAGCCTGCCCCTAGTAATGTATACTTCCTCCAACAAGGCCTCACCTCCTAAACCTCCCCAAATAGCATTACTGGGGATCATATGTTCAAGTGCCCTACACTATGAGGGACATTTATCATTAAAACACTTATAACCTGTGTATTCACATCCTGACCTCAACCCACTGAAGGGTCTCTGATTGTCTGGGGTGATTTGAGAACTTGGTAGGATCCTAGAAGGGAGGCCTATGCTTTATAATCTCCTTTGTATAATGCCAGTGGGTCTCCCTCAGCACATGGTGGGAGTATTGGTAGAGAAGTCTGCCTTCTATCACTTTTTTGTTTTTATTTTTACTTTTTTGAGACAATCATTCAAATGTGCTGCCTGCTTCAGACTCCCAGTCAGCTGGGACTACAGGGTTGTGCCAATGTATCCCATTCCCCATCATCCTTTAAGAGAGTCCTGTTAGTCAGGTTAGATTAACACAGGAAATACTATGCATGAAGGCCACTTGGCCTGTCTGTGGTAATCAGGTACTTAATGGGTCATGGAGGGCTGCTACAGTCAGGATGTGGCCAGAGGACTCAGGACAGTGGGGTAAGACCATGAAGGCAGGCAAGGATTCCTGTGGCTCTTGGAGCTGAGCGACTTGGAAGCCTAGGCAGTGGGACATAATCACTGACTGTGTTGAGCCCTACATGGGAGAAGATTGACTTGTGCCCTGAGAACATGGGAGACATTAAAGGAGGCATTGGCAATCATTTCTAGAGTCCATGGGAAGCTTTGCTCACTACCTCAGTCATTTCTAGAAACTGGGTTTTCTGAATTCTATGCTCCGAATGATAATGCACATAAAAAACGTAGAGAGGAACAAAAGTTACACCTTTGTTCCTATAGACGTCAGTGAGGCTGAGTCAGCCCCAGTCTCGGTGAAATTTCCATTTCTGATGAAGAATAAACAACTTGGAGTGTGCAGGGAAGGTGGGCTGGGCAGTGTTCAGGGTTCTGTTTGTCCCCTCCCAAAGACCAGGCTCTTCTGGGTGGGCTGTCACCCTTAGTCTTGGCAAATGATGGCCCTCTTGAGTTTGAGTAGAGTAAAACCATGCTGGTGCTTGCGTTAGTGTCCAGCATGTCTGGATATTCACAAGTGTGCCTCTCCGCAGCACAGGAAGTCCTTGAGAACCTCAAAGGTCGCTGGTATCAGGCAGACAATCCACCTGCAGACTTGCTGCTGACTGAGGATGAGTTCCTTTCATTCCTTCACCCTGAGCACAGCCGGGGCATGCTCAAGTTCATGGTCAAGGAGATTGTTCGGGACTTGGGTAAGGCCTGTCTCCACTATGGCATTGTTCTAGGCCTGAGGGTGACCAGTGGGCTGGGATCACTACACTGCTGAAAGGGATAAGCCCCAGGGTAGATGGGCTTGTCCTGTTTTGGTTCCTAAGGAAGTTCTTAAGTGATACTCAGTGAGTTTTAGGTAAAGCCCAAGCTAAGCACTACCTTCCTCCAACCCTTATAGACCAGGATGGCGATAAGCAGCTGTCTCTGCCTGAGTTCATCTCCTTGCCTGTGGGCACTGTTGAGAACCAGCAAGGCCAAGACATTGATGACAATTGGGTGAAAGACAGGAAAAAAGAGTTTGAGGAACTGATTGATTCTGACCATGATGGGATTGTGACCATGGAGGAGCTGGAGGTGAGCAAGGGTGCTTATGAATGTTGGTGTGTTCCAGGAATGGCCCTGTGTTTGGAGGATGTGGGCTAATCCTTCAGTAAGTTCCCAAAGGAAAGGGGGCTTGCCTACATGATGACCTGAGATAATGGGTATCAGCATTAGTACTCAGAGTGAAGAGATGGGAAGGTCTTGTGAAACCTGTTGACTATGGGCTATTGGCCTTTAGAAAATGACTCCCTAGTCTGTTTAAGGCATCTGGGAATTCATTTTGGTGCTCAGGATGAAACTCGGGGCCTTTAAACATGCTGAACAGTTGTTCTATCACAGAGCTACATCATCAGCCCTGTGTTAAGGGATTCTTAAGGCCCCTTCTGTATGGGGCCTTAAGAGAAAGCACATACTAGCCCCATTTCTGAAGTGACCTCTGGGCTAGCATGTAGGTATGGGGGCTGTGGGCACAGGGCCTCCCTATTGATAAGGTGTCAGGTATAGGCCACTGACTTATGTCTGGATCTCACAGAACTACATGGACCCCATGAACGAATACAATGCCCTCAATGAAGCCAAACAGATGATTGCCATTGCTGATGAGAACCAGAACCACCACCTGGAGCCTGAGGAGATTCTCAAATATAGCGAGTTCTTCACTGGCAGCAAGCTGATGGACTATGCTCGCAATGTGCATGAGGAGTTCTGAGCATACCCCTCAACCCTCAACTGGGGCCAGGCCGCCAGCCTCCTGTCTGACCCTTCCTACACCTTGAGGGACCTGTGGTCTAGTGAGACCTGTGGTTGACTGGGTCCCGGGTGGGTTTGAAATGCTACCTACCCTGTGTCTGGGGGCTACCATGACCCTGAAAAGTGCTGTCCCAGAACCTTCTTTCTTCTGCTGTGTTCATATGGTCTGGCTCAGCTCCTGCCACAGCATGGCCCAGATTTATTAAAGATAAGCTTAATAGGCATTGTGTCCTCTCCAGCATGTGTCTGAGGCAGCAGCCCCTCTGTACCAGTCATGGGCTAAGCTGCATTTGCTTGACCAAATCTTTTTCAGTTGCTACTCTACTTCTGAGAACTGCTCTGAGTGGTTGGTTCAGGTGAGAATGCTGCACACATCAGGGCCAGGAACTCTCGGCCGGGCCCCTCCGGGGCTCACTGCACTATAGGAAATAAATGCAACTCTTGCAATTTTCTTGAAAACTGAAAGACTAATTTTAAATTAGATCACATTTCTCTGGAAGTAATCAGCCCCACAGTTGGTGCTACCCCCTTGGTAAGGTCTGGTAGGCCATTGGGGTAGGGTCTTCCTCAAACTCTTCAGAACCTTGCAGGATCCATCCTTATGAGAAAGTGTAGATATTGGTTGTCACAAAAATCATTACTTTACAATAGAATTGCCTTTTTCTCATATTTTCTTTTTCCTTCCCTCCTTCCTGCCTGCTTTCCTTTCTTTTTTGTTTGTTTTTCTTTTTCTTTCTTTCTTTCTTTTTTTTTTTTCCGGAGCTGAGGACTGAACCCCTTGTTTTTCTTTATGTAGCCCTGGCTATCCTGGAATTTAGAAATCCACCTGCCTCTGCCTCCTAAGTGCTGGGATTAAAGGTATGTGCCACCACTGCCTAGCAACACATTGTCATTCTTCAGATGAAAAAAGAGAACAGTGTGGCTAGGTAGCTTACATTAGAAGCATTTGAGGTAGACACTGGTTAAATGGGTTTATAGCTTTCAATAAACATTGATTCTCCTCATGGTAGAAGTGAAAATAGGACCTGAAGGCAAGACATGAAAGAGAATGATAGAATTTCATGCATTGGAAAGGTTATGTGGGATCAAGTTGGGTCTTGAGGTTGGGATCTGAAGCAGAGTCTGAGCTGGCTAAGGTCCCAGGCTAGTGTTCTTGAAGGTCTGTTTTGGTGCTCAGGACCACTGCTTTGGTATTAAAAAGGAACAGAGCAGGTGTGTCAGGACAGTTGATACCTCATCACAATTCTAGGCCTGCCCTAGGTTACCTGTATGACACAGTTTTTTTTTTTTCTTTTACAGGAACCTACTTTTGTGTGGTGTGTTGGGAACCAGGATGGGTGGTGGAGCATGGCTCCTCATAGTCAATGGAGTGTTGTGGTACCTGAGCTGGTTTCTAGGCAAAGATAAGACTTTAGAACTCAGAATGATAATGTGGACAAGCAGATCCCAGCCTCTGAATCTCCCAGTGGTAGACACACTGCTCTGGAATACAGATCTCTCAGCAGACTATGAGATTTGACCACCATCCTGCTCCTGCTCATGGCCTTGGCCTGGAGTGTTACATCTGAGGTGGCATCTTGAAGGTCTCCAGGTGAAGGTGTAGTACAGCCCTGGAAGCCAGCTAGATACCTGGCAGGTACCTGTTATATAATAGCACCTGGTCTTTCAGAAGTTCTGATGACTTCTAGTTTGGTACTCAAGGGGCAGCAGCCTGTGGGAGTAGCTTTAGGTCCCTTATCTTGTTGAACTGAGGGGATGAGTAGGGCCTCACTCTAACCCCTAGTGCCATAGCCCAGAGCTGTAGTCTCTGCAGTTTTTAGGAGCACCAGCCCAGTAGATACAGTGATGCCAACTACTGCCAGTGATTTTTCTAGAGAAAAATCACCATGAAAACTCAGTTTCAGTGTGGTCCTGGATGGAAGCAGCTTCAAGCAGAAGGGGCTGCTGTCCTGTATAGAGCCTCTGCAGGGAGTCCTGTGGTGATGATATATTGTGTATCAAATAAAGCTTGCCTGAGGATCAGAGGACAGAGCCAACCGCTAGATTAAACATAGAGGCTAGGCAGTGGTGGCACACACCTTTAATCCCAGCACTTGAGATCTCATACCTTTGCTACCAGTATTTGGGAAGCACACATGCCATTAATCCCAGCACTAGGCTGGGTGGAGAAAGGCATATATAAGGCACATGAGGAGACAGGAACTAGATCATTCAGCTGAGGACTTGGAGGCATTCAGTCTAAGGATTCATGGAGATAGAATCTTGCCTTCCATTGGGCCTGAGGATTCGGTAGTGATGAGAAGTTTCTCTAGTGGCTTGTTCCTTTGTCTCTCTGATCTTTCAGCATTTACCCCAATATTTGGCACTGGGGTTTTATTAAAAGACCAATTAGGATTCGTGCAACAGAGTCCCTAGGAATGGATGGGCACATCTAGGCTTCTCTGCACCTCTATTCATCTGTGTGCTGATGCTAAGCTCCTTGGCCAGGTGTGACAGCCAAGGACAGCAGAGTTCTGGGGGGAGGAAGGGGACCTTAGAGTGCAATGCTGACCAGTACCTCCAAGCTACCTGGCCTCAGGAAAGACCATGTGTCAAATGTGAGTTTTACCTTCCTTTTTGCTTAGGAAAGGACTGGGGAATGCTGCCCAGGATACCCTGAGGATTCTTCTTCAGGACTTTCACTGTACTTCAAAAGCATGGGGAGGGCAGTCTCTGTGACCTCTTGGCCCACTCTAGCTTTTTCCACCTATTTCCTAGCCCAGCCTGACCTTCCAGGTTAGGAATTTCCATAAGAGGGCTGGGGACTTCTTTTACATGTGATCTTGGGTGGGGGATTTCCAGCCCCAGTCCTGTATCTCGTTCTGCAGCAGGACTATCCCTGCACCCTTTTTTTTTTTTTTTTTTTTTTTGGCTTTTTAACAGACTTCATCTGTAATCCAGGCTGGCCTGGAACTTGTAGTCATCATGCCTTTCTCTCCTGAAAACTGGGATTACAGGTGTGCACCACTATGCACAGCTAGCATGCAACTTTCCAATTAATTTGGGAATTGATAATTATATCATGTCATAATTTATTACACAATGTGTAATAAGGACACTGCCTCCCTGTTAACCCATTTCCTCCTTCAGTGCAGTAATTTGTATGTAAGAAGAGAAAGTCTGTGACACTTGTAATCCCAGCATTTGGGAGATGGAGGCAAGAGGGTGAGAAGTTCAAAGTCATAAAGATGGTTCAACGGTTAAGAGCACTTGCCAGAACCTAAATTTGGTTCCCAATATCCACATCAGGATATAGTTATAGCTGCCTATAACTCCAGCTTCAGGGGGATCAGACACCTCTGGCCTCTTTGGGCACCTGTACCACATGCATATATTCCCTACACACACATATGCACAATTAAAAATAAACTAAATCTTTTTTTGTCTTTGTTTTTTGTTTTTGTTTGTTTTTTTCAAGACAGGGTTTCTCTGTGTAGTCCTAGCTGTCCTGGAGCTTGCTCTATAGACTAGGCTGGCCTTGAACTCACAGAGATTCACCTGCCTCTGCCTCCTGAATGCTGGGATTAAAGGAGTGTGCCACCACTGTCTGGCACTAAATCTTTAAAAAAAGAAAGAAAAAGAAAAGGAAGGAAGGAAGAAAAGATTGAAACATGGCTACAGAATAAATTCAAATGTCAGCCTGGGCAACTTAGTAAAACTCTGTTCAAAATAAAACATGAAGAGGGCTGTGGATATAGCTCAGTGGTAGAACACTTACCCAGCATGTAAAAGAACTTAGGTTCTCAGTGCTACAAAAAGGGGGGTTAAAAAAAAAAAAAGAAGTCTGTTCACACTGGAGAGATGACTCAGTAGTTAAGCTTGTACTGTTCTTTTGGGGTGTTTTTGTTTTTGAGATAAGGCCTCTATTACGTAGTCCTAGCTGTCCTGAAACTTGCTATGTAAATTAGGCAGAGTTGGCCTGCTTCTGGTGCCTAAGAGCTGGGATTAAAGGAGTGTACTACCATGCACAGTGGTAAAAGCAAGTGTTCTTACAGAGGACTCATGTTCCTAGCACTCATGTTGGTGGTTCACAACTGCCTATAACTCTAGCTCTTCTGACCTCCTTGAGTATTATGCTTACCATATACATAATGCCCCCCCAAAAGAAAAATATAATTAAAAGTAAAATCTTTAAAGAATGCCTGTGTGAATGTGTGTGTATTTCTGTGTGCCTTCATAGGTATATGTTGGGTGTCTGCACCTCCCTTCACATGCCTCAGTGGCCCCAAGCACTTCCTAACTTGTTAATGGGACCTGTGTCACATATACAGGAACACAATTATAAAGCATGCTCACATATCTTCCTGCCTCTCCGCCTACTCTTCTCGCCCCTCCCCCCATAGCTCTTATAGCCACATCCTGCAAGGAAAAACCCAGACTCCTGTGAAGGCAGAGCCCAGACAAGGATGTATGTGTGGGTTCAGCAGCCCACAGCACTTCTGCTTCTGGGGCTCACATTTGGAGTTGCAGCCAGGCTCAACTGTGTTGAAGATACCTACCCCAGTGGTCACAGGTGCTGTCATGAGTGCCAGCCAGGTGAGTGGCCTGGCTTTGGGTAGTGGCAGGGTAGGGGAGGGATGATTCTTGGAGGACAATGATGGAGACACAGGTACAAACATCCTGAGGGTAAATGAATCCTGGGGGTGATGTCACAGGTGATGCTCCATGGATTCTGTCCCAAGCCTGAGACAGAGCCTACCAAGAGGCTGGGTGCTGTCTCCACAGCCTTGGGCCTTAGCTGACTTGTTTAACTTTCTGGGCTCTACTACAGGCAATGGTATGGTGAGCCGCTGTGATGGCACCAGGGACACTGTATGCCACCCATGTGAACCTGGCTTCTACAATGAGGCAATCAATTATGAAAACTGCAAGCAGTGTACACAGTGCAACCAACGTGAGTTCCACCTACCCTGACTCACTATCCAGCCCAGCAAGGAAGCAGCTACACTGGGTGCCCATATTTCTCATATGATTGAGGAAGTAACTCCAAGCCATGATGAATCCTGTTCACTAAGGGGTCCTTAGTAGTCAGGGCATTTCTTAGGAGGCACTTTTGTCGTCTGGGGTGAAGGCTCAGCCAGGGCCATATGGAACTGGAGTGGAGCACTTGTTGGCCATGTGGCCCTGCCCAAGTTGTCCTGGTAGGTAAGGCCCTGGTATAGAGGTTGAGAGTATCTGAGGCTTCTGATTCAGGTGCTATAGGCTGGAGATAGGTTGGGGGAGGATAAAAAAAGGGAGGCCACAATTGCCCTGTTTCAGCTCAGTAGCTTTCTGCAGGGCTTCATGACCAGGAGGAACAGAGTAGCCAGGGAGAGGGTCTTACGAGAGGAGAAGCCTAAAGTCATAGTTCCCTCAGCTTCAACTTTGTTCCTGTGCCAACTGAGGAGAGGAAAGTCCATTTTGCCCTGCCTTGTTCATAGGTCAGGGCTGGGAAAGCTTCATTCACAGTCTCTACCTGATCTTCCCTAGGAAGTGGGAGTGAACTCAAGCAGAATTGCACACCTACTCAAGATACTGTCTGCCAGTGCAGGCCAGGCACCCAGCCTCGACAAGACAGCAGCCACAAGCCTGGAGTTGGTGAGCCTCAGGGCGGCCCCCTACATGAGGCAGGTTCATGTCTATCCATGGCCAGTGTGTGTGAGGTGGTTAGGATCCATGTGTGCTGGCCACCTTCATGATAATGGTATAAAGGAGCCATGTTCTCACTGCATACACTGTCACCTCCTCCAGTATCTCTCCATCTAGTCTTGGCCAAAAGCTCCTCTTCTAATGGGTCACACCAAGACTTGTGTCAGTGCCAGTGGGAAGGAAGGAGCTTGCAGAGGTCAAGATTTCCATTCACTTGCACCGGAGAGTGAGCATTAACCCTCCCTTCAGGCCCCACCTCCAGTAGTCTCAGCATCCAGGGCCCACCTAGTAGCATCAGAAAGCTGACTTATGTCTTTGCTGCAGACTGTGTTCCCTGCCCTCCTGGCCACTTTTCTCCAGGCAACAACCAGGCCTGCAAGCCCTGGACCAAGTGAGTATTGTGGCTGGCAGGAACACTGAGGACTGGAGATGTGGAAGGAATAGAACCAGAAAGGTTTGGGCATTTAAGAGCTGGTGTCTAGATGACTATATGATGGACCAGTTCAGAGGACAAAAATCCATGAGCCAGGGGATCTTGTGACATCCCCTGTGGGGAGCCCTGCAAGTGGAGTGGGGGCATGTGAGATCCTAGTCCAGGCCATAGGAACATGTTTGCTCTCTAGTTGTGGTTCTTCTCCAGAAGGCTGGAGAAGTATTGGGTGGGATTTGAGAGTACAGAACCCCATCTAGGAGCAGGACAGGGATGGAAACAGGGTGAAGACAGAAACAAAGATAGATATGTGGCTTGGGGGTGGAGGTCTTGGCAGAGATAAGGATGACCCAGTACAACTTCTACCATTGTCTCTAGCTAATAGACACCCTCATCCCACAGTTGTACCCTATCTGGGAAGCAGACCCGGCACCCAGCCAGTACCAGCTTGGACACAGTCTGTGAGGACAGAAGCATCCCAGCCACACCACTCTGGGAGACCCAGAGCCCTACATCAAGGCCAACCACTGTCCAGTCCACCACAGTCTGGCCCAGGACTTCTCAGTTGCCCTCTACATCCACCTTGGTGGCTCCTCGGGGTAAGGGACGCTGGCCCAATAGATGGGGGTGGGAAGGTGAGGGTAAGTGAGTTCACTCAGTTACCCTATTCATAGGCCCTGCATTTGCTGGTTTCTTGGGCCTAGGCCTGGGCCTGCTGGCTCCCTTGACTGTTCTGCTGGCCTTGTACCTACTCCGAAAGGCTTGGAGGTTGCCTGATACTCCCAAACCCTACTGTGAGTACCCACATTGGGCTTAATAAAGCTTACTTCCTAGAGGGATGAGATATACCTCCTCACTGCTTTTTCCTTCTTTGCTTCTCCTAGGGGAAAACAGCTTCAGGATCCCTATCCAGGAGGAACAGACTGACACACACTTTACTCTGGCCAAGATCTGAACAGTACCTCAGGAGTGGGTTTTATGGAGCATGGGCAACCCATATCCTGGTGCCTGCCAGTACCCTCCACACCGTTCTAGGTGCTGGGCTGGCTCTGGGCTCTCCTATGTATGCTATGCATACTACCTGCCTGGTGGTACCACCAATAAACATGCTAGCAACTGTGAGTCTGTGACTGGCACTAAGGGGCTGAGGTTGCATCCTCTTCTGGTGGGTGAGAGTTAGGCTAAGGAGAAGGTCCCCTCAGAGACCCACACTTAAGTCACATGTATTCCAGTTTGAATAGGGGTATGTAGTACAGGAGACCTGAAATGCCAAGGGGATGGTACTAGGGGAGCTAACTGGCAGCTTGATGAGCAGTCCAGAGTCTATGCTCTAAGACAGTGGCTCTCAACCTTCCTAATGCTTCAACCCTTTAATACAATTCCTCATGCTGTGGTGACCCCCAACCATAAAATTATTTTTGTTGCTACTTCATAACTGTAATTGTGTGACTGCTATGAATTGTAATATAAATATTTTTGGAGATAGAGTTTCACCAAAGGGGTCACAACTCACAGATTGAGAGAACCACTGCTCTAAGGGAACCTAAGAGTCTTAGCCAAAAGGGAAGGGCCCTGGCAAGCAGAGCCTGAGTACCTTGATCACAAGAGGGGCTCATAAACCATTGTGCCCCTTTTGAACTCCGTGGCTCAGGCAGCTAACACAGAGTTATCCTTTCTCTCCAGCCACATGAATGGTGAGAAGTGTTTGATGGTCCTTGGGCATTGTCTAGGTACTACCTTAGGAATCTCTGGAAGTGAATGGCCAAGAATCCATGTAGCAGCCAATTAGCCAGCTGTGTTGGAAAACTGAAGGCTGCTACTTGAGCCAAATCTCATCTGTCCTGAGATCATGACAAGAACACAGACACTTTATCTAAAACAGACTTGAGGACCCAGGGTCTTATTGCTGCCCTCTACTGTAAAGAGTTCCAGAAGCAGCATCTGGGAATGGCAGTGTTGCTCAGGAAGCACAGGTACCCAGACGCTCAATGAATTAAAGTCAAAAAGTGCCAAGCTGCTCATGGAAATGGTCAAGCGGTTATGCCTGATCATGTAAGTGAAAACAGAGAGCCCAGATTGGTGTCGTGTGATGCATGTTAAGAATCACTAGATGGCCAAGCTTGGTGGCATATACTTTTAATCCCAACACTGAGAAGGCAGAGGCAGGAGGATCTCTGTGAGTTCAAGGCCAGCCTGATCCACATAGTGAGTTCCAGGTTGGCCAGAATTACATAGTGAGACCATGTCTTGAAAAGAAAAAAAAGAAAGAAAGAAAGGAAGGAAGGAAGAAAAAGAAAGAAAGGAAGGAAGGAAGAAAGGAAGAAAGAACCCCAAACAACAAAAAAAAAAAGAGTCACTAGACATTCTGGTGTGGGGTTGGTGCTGGGCTGTGTCAGCTGCACTTTGAGGGGGCATAGGAAACATAAGGATCTAAAAAAAAAAGGCTATTTCCTTATTTCCTGCCTCTTGCCACCCTGAGGCCACTGGCCTGGCATTAAAGTAGCACTTTGTTACCCCTCTCATCTTTTACTTGGTCTGCCTGTGGCCAGATATGATTTTTTTGTTTGTTTGTTTGTTTTGCTTTTTGACACAGGGTTTCTCTGTGTAGCTCTGGCCATTTGGAACTCACTCTGTAGACCAGGCTGGCCTTGAATTCAGAGATTTTCCTGCCTCTGCCTCCCAAGTGCTAGAATTAAAGGCGTGCGCCACCACTGCTGAGCCAGATATGATTATCTTAATCTGCATGCTGGGGCATCCTATTACTTGTAGTCCAAGTCATTGTGAACCAAAAGGTGGCTGGACAAAACTATCTCTGATCCTGGTTCCCCTCCCATCTCTTTCTTCTCATTCTCTGACAACATCCAGCTGCCTACAACCAAAGGAAACACCCACTAAACTACTAAATACCCTTCACTGGGTCCCTATGTAAGCCTGGGGATGGAGCCATAGACCAATTGGCAACCCCCACCCCACAGGGAAGTCCAAGCCTAGAGAGGCCAACAGGAGGCTGGGGAGGGTTGGAAGAAGAATGCTGTGGGGCTTGGGAGGTTAGAGATTGTAGGAAAGAGGTTTTATTCCCACGCTAGGCAGGCCATATCTATGTCTCCTGTTTACTGGGCACAAGTCTCCAGTTTTCCTGCTGTCTCTTGCCCATTTTTGGGCTCCTTGGGTCCCTTCCCAGATTAAATATCCATGGCCCCACCTGCACAGACACTGGGTTTACTTTCTCTTCATTCTGGTGCTGTCCCAAAGTACATTCTCTATCCCCCTCATCTCAAAAACTCCCTGACTACCTCTACTGAGGCCCCATGTCAGCCCGGGGATTTCCTACAGGGTCAAACTGCCAGGACCCTCTGCTGCCTGGAATATACTCACTGAGTCCTGTGAAACAAACCACATGGAAATACAAGGAGCTCATAAAATAAAGGCGATAGCAGTGAGCAGATAAATATCACCTCTACCCACCACCATGTTATGGAAGCTGCTCGTTCTTGGGAGTCACTTGCAGTGGATACCTAGAAGAGGGTGGGACAGGAAGTCTGACATAGGTGCTGACATTTACTGATGTCATCTGCTTGAAAACATCTCCCCAGGTATATGATCTGTGTCTTTTGATCTTTGTGGTCTGTGTGTGGTTGGCACAAGAGCACTGTGTCCTGGAAAGAACCTCCGTGGAGCTCATTAACAGCTTATAGCCTTTCAAGTCTTTATCAAGCAGACCATGCCCATGGCTGAGCTTAAACACAACACCAAGGCCAAAATTCTCATGAGATGCCCCCAAGGTACATTGCAAGGCGGCGTTTAGGGGGTGAGTCAATGCTTTGTTATCTTTCCCTTGTGGAAGAGGCCATTGCCTAGAGAACAGGGATCCCCAATGTGAGGATATCATGGTTGGCAGGAGATACCATGTGTATACTGTGCACTCCCCAAGGTTGGGGTAATACTATGAAGGCATGGTCCTGGCTGACCTCTTAGATTTTTGTTTGTTTGTTTGTTTGAGACAGGGTCTCTTCCCATAACTCTGGCTGTCCTGGAACTCACTATATAGTCCAGGCTGGCCTCGAACTTAGAGATCCACCTGCCTCTGCCTCCTGAGTGCTGTGATTAAAGGTGTATACTACTATGTCCAGCTCCAAATATGGAGTGTTTCACAAATTTTTGTGTCATCCTTGCATATGGGCCATGTTAATCCTATCCTTGTATTGTTCCAATTTTTGTATATGTGCTACCAAAGTGAGCACCCCCTTAATTTTTTTTTTAAATGGTTAGGAACATAGCCAATACTGCCCTCAACACCTTTATGTGGAATCAAGGTACACGGTTTCCTTTCTGCCTTTGTACTCAGACCCACCTCCTTGGCCAGGAGCTGTTTGTTTCTCAAAGAAGAGGTTCTGCTGAGATTAGCCTAGAGTGGAGTACCCAGAGCTCCCTCCCTACCCTGCAGTGACCAGGGCTACCTCTCAGGAGGCTTACACACCTGCGGCCAGAGAACAACAGGGGTAACTTCTGACATTTCCTACTTCCTCAGGCTCCTCCAACAGCAGCTTAGAAGGGTGTCAGACCAGGTTTCCTAGGTCTTCCACAATCACAGTAGTCTCCACACCTACCATTTGTGGGTATAACCATTGTTATATTCAGAGATATTCCCATGCTCACTCCCAATATTCCCAAAAGTCCTCACCATGTTTCCCTGTGCTTAGCTTTAGCTGGAAGATGTAGGAAGTAAGGCTGAATAATCCAGAAAGGCTTCCTTATAGAGGCAGGGTTCCTGAACCTGCTAGTGACCACTTGAAGAAACTGAGGCTCAGAAAGACAGGATAGTCTCACCATGAGGAGGCCTGAAGGGCTCTGTCAGGGACTCCCTTCCTGTTGTCTAGAATTGTGTGAGGAGGTGAAAAAAAGTGGCTCCAGAGAGAGCCGAGAGAGCCAAGAGATCCAACCTGGAACTGCCAGGCCTGGATCTGGGCAGGCCATACGCTTTGTGTGCCTGCTAGAAATGCCCAGCTTATGATGATCTTCTCTGAAAGGCATGATATATGCTCTGGACTACCCTTACTGGCTCTCTTAGTTTCCCAAACCCAGAGAAGCTCCCTGGGGTGGAAGAGGAAAGGGGGAAGTTTTACACAACAATAAAGGGTAACCACAGGCGGTGTGGCAGCAGCACATATGAATGGGGCATCCTTTTCCTCAGCAGCCTAGCCAGGGTGGGTATGCTGGAGTTGGAAGAGGTTTGTTGGGGTTCAGGAGATGTCAAGGAAGATGATACAGCTTTGTTGCACACTTCACAGAAGGCCTTTACAAGCACCACAAGCCTGCCGGAAGATGGAGGTGGAGCTGGGCTGAAGCCCAATCTGAGGGGTGGGGACAGAGGCAGGGGCGGGGACAAGGCATGTTGGAGCAGGTTGGGGACTACTAAAAATCAGCCAACAGGAAGAAAACTCGGGAGAAACACTATGGGAGCGTGGGCTGTGCTGTGTGGAGTCTCATTGATTTGTATGCTGGACCTAGGTCGGCAGAGCCTGGTTGAGGAACCTAGTTGTGGCCCTGGCAGCTTCCAGCATGGAACTGGCACCAACACGCGATGCTGCAGCCTGTGTGCTCCAGGTAAGGCAAGGAGGGGAGCAGGAACCAGGATGTGCAGCAGCTCACACCAGGAATGTTGGCACAGGGCATATATGAGTGGGTAGGCAAACTTCTTGAGTCTAGAGCTTTGAGTCTGGAACTGAGGAGGAGGTAGAGGGTCCATCTGAGCCAGTTGTTCAAGATCAGAAATGTGGGAGCAGAGGCAACAGGGGCTGGAAACTTTTCCCTCAAGAGGGATCTGGGGTCCAAGGTGAAAGAGGACCATCTTAGGGTCTGCTGGGTGGGTCAAACATTAGCTATCACCAAAGCTACTCTCTGTCTGGGTTGGTGTCCCAACATTCTCCTTTGCCCGATCCACTGTCTGTGTCTTATAGTTCTAGGTGTGGGGCAGTCTGAGGACCCATCAAAGAAAAATATCTCAGCATTTCACTGCTACCCCTCTGGTATAGAAAGGGTCAGCTCTGAGGGTCCGTGTCTCTGTGATAAAAATATAGATAGCAGTGAATGCAGCTGCTGAGGTGTTCCTAGTGCCATGAGGG